TGGAGCACAATTGACAGGCGATCTACTTGCAAGTCAGATTAATTTTGAATTGAAAAACCAATTATAGCATCACGTTAAAAGCATATTAAGCATGGAGGAAATGAAATAGATTGGTCAGAAGAATAATAAAGCGATTAAAGTGCAATTAATAAAGTAATTATAAACGTGTTTAAACAGTGGGCACGGGGAACATGAGTCGAGGGCAAATTTCTTTTGAAGATTCCCACACTGAAAAGAAGAAAATTCACGCATAATTATGCTATGGAAATTGGGGTTCATATATCTTTCTCAAAATCATAATTATTCAAAGCTAGCGAATTAAAAATGATTAAGAAATCTATAAATAAAGAGAAGCTTGACCAATAACTCATCAGATGTTAGTTCTTAATCATGATTTCGTACCAAATTAAGACACGATCATTGTTCTTCCACTCCTACATTAATGTTGTTGTTTCTTTTCGGTAAATTACATTTTGAGGCCATTTAATTATGTGTTTGTTAACAAACGAGTCACTTCTTTATTCTAAAAGTAGCAAATAAGTTAATTAAAATATTATTACAAACAAATCACTATCTCGTAAAAAATTAAACATATCTCCAATTTGGCTTGATATAACAACAGTTTAGTCCCAAGACTTATACATTCTACTAGTTTTGTCGCAATTTGAAATAATTCAATAAATTTAACCCATCATATTTAATTTTTTTATCAATTTAGTATTTTTTTTATACTATCAAACCAAACACATGCCTTTGGTCCTTGTATTCTTCAATTTTGAAACTTAATCAGCTTTTGATTCTAGAAATTTGATCTCTCTACTTGTCATATGTAACAACTAATGTGTAATTGGTAATACATGCGTATTCACATTTAAAAAAGAATCAATTAATAATATTATAAAGCGGATTTTAACTTTAGAATTAGATCAACAAAATGACTAATTTTTCAAGTAGAGAAATTAAATTTCAGAAAGTTTTAGAACATATGGATTGGGGGGTAGATTTAGACCTTTTATAATCATTTATTAAGAGATACGGGTGTTGTCAGGTTTTCCGACACTACCTAGATTTTCTTTGATTTATTTAAGGAAATATATGTTCAATTGTTAATTTGATTCAAATTGATCTCATCAATCTGTACAATTGCACTAAAATCAGGAAAAACTTGGTCAAAAAGCGGGTTATTAATTAATAATTCTCATAAAACTATGAGCCACTGTACAAGCTATTAATAGGTTTGATAAATCATGAGCATTTCTTTATTTTTTGAGTGTTGTTAAAAGGACTCAATATTTATAGGCGCTAATTAAGGCTGGTTAATATATATATCTTATAGTTAATTGGTTATATTTATCATGTTAAAAAAACATAAGGGTATATATGAGCTAATATTGAGAAAGTAACTGATTATTGGTAACCTACACCATGTACTATTGAATTTTAGGCAGTGTTTGTTTATATTATTAAACTTTCAATTGCTCTAATTAGAGTATTCAACTTTGATATTGACTTTAATTATATCATTATCCCATTAAAATTCAAACAACGTGATGATGTGGAAAAAAACAACATTGATATCACGAGATTGTTGAGACCTAAAACGATATTATTCTAGGCACTAAACTTTAGGGATTATTGATTTTGTTACTAAATTTTTAAACAATTCACCTTTTAGCACTGTATTTTTTCGTTTGTCATTGGTAATGAATCGTTGTTCGTCATCGGTCGTCTTTCACAACAAGATTAATATCGAAGTGTTGGCATTTCACTAATCTTTCTTCTCTTTAGGATTGGTTTTCTACGAAATCCACCTAAAATTGACATTATCAAATAAAAAAAATCCTCCCAAATTAAGGGTTTGGGAGTTGTCTCATATTTAAGGTTTGTTTGGAAATCTAAATAGTAAGAAATATTACTTCGAGAAGACAAACAAAATGCCTCAAATCTAACCTCATCAGACGACCATTAGAGGAGATTGAAGTATTAACACGTTGAATCTTTAGATTGTTTTTCATCGATTTTGAGTTAATTTCATGGAAAACTAATATGATGAGAAGAAAGGTGAATGAAATATAAATATTTTGATATCGATCTTGTTGCGAATGGTGACCGTTGATAGGTGACAATTGACTGTGAGTAGGTGTCGGAAGAGTTTAGTGCCAAAAAATGAACTATTTAAAAGTCTAATGGCAAAATTGATACACTATTAAAGGTAACTACCTAAAACGATATCGTTTTATCCATGTTATCATATTGACAAAAAGGTTTGTCCATAGAAATTGATACACTATTAAAGGTAACTACCTAAAACGATATCGTTTTATCCATGTTATCATATTGACAAAAAGGTTTGTCCATAGCATCATGCCGTTAAAATTTAACGGTCTAGTAATATAATTGAAGTCAAAACTAAAATTTAGTATTATATTAGAGCAATTAATAGTTTAATAATATAATTAGAGCAATTAAAATTTTAATAAATATAATTAGAGTAATTGAAAGTTTAATAGATTAACGATACATTATTTAAAGTTTAGTGATACGTTATTTAATTTATTACAAGGACAAAAGTATCGCTAAAACTTATGTTTCATTTACCTTGAAGAAGAATTATAGTTTGCTTGAATTTCTATTAAATTTATACTCATTCTGCTCTATGCTATAATAAATTATTTAAAATTAATCTTTTTACTAATGTTTACTTAACCAAAGTAACTACAAATCAAAAGAGATGCCTCTCTTATTGCCTAACTTGAAATATTCAAATAAAAAAATAGTGATGGGTTGAGTAGTTAAAGAGAGTGTTGTTATATTTTGAAGTTTCGAATTTGAGTAGTTGCATCTGTAGGGTTCGTGCACGTTGTCGAAAAGTAATAAATATTATGAACATATGCTACTGGCTTACATTCTTTGCTCTATATCTTTTGGAACATATGAAGTAAATAAATCATGTCGTAACGTATACACATCGTAATCGTATCGTAATCACAATTTAATATTATGATACCAACAAACCGAAACTGGTAATCATAAGTACTGTGCAGGCAGGACAAGTTCAGATCAATCTTTACTTTGTGATGATACATTGGTGATATCAGAGGGCCTCAACAACAGTTAAAACTCTTTTTAAAACATAATGTATGATCGATATGCCAGGACACAAGGAAGCAGACATAATTGGCAAGCACATCAAGTACACTACTTTAGCCTCAGATACATGTGATTGCTGAGACCAAAAGAATCATTATGTATACGAAATGACAGTAAATCATATATATCTTGTTTGGAGTTAGGTCAATATACGACAAAACCAAATCATAACCCTAACTTAAAGTACACAACTTCAGCAGCCAGGAGGATTGGGAGAAAACTGAAACGTTTACCGTGGTCACAGTCGGTCAGTTAGGAATGCTGATGATACGTCTGTCTGTATGCTTGCCTGTCTTCACTGTTGCGAGATGTAAAATTCATATCGACATGAAAGGCAGAGGGGATTTTAAGACTGTGCGTGGAGACAGTTAGTGCTTGATGATGCATGCCACGATGTTTGTTCTTTATTCCAGGCATGTTTCGCCAGCTGATGCGTGTTGAGGATCTTCGATTGAGATTATTATTGTCTTGCTTTTGTTTTGCAGCTTTATGATGTCCATTACGCCGTTGACACACAATGAAGGGAAATTTTAACTACCTTGTTGGGGAGAATAACCAACAACATTAATTATTTGTCTTGATAATCTTATCGTTTGTTCTTGCGATCATCTTAAACAATTAATATGGATTACTTTATAAGTTTTATATAATTTAAAAATAATTTGATGAGTAAAATAAATAATTAAAAAAAATTCATTATTTTTTATTTTTAATAAATTTTTTCTTATTTTATTTATATAAAAACATGTAAAACTTAAAAAATAATCCATAATATATAAGTACATCGTGGATTATCCAACGTAATTAGGAAAAGGATCTCCCGTTGCCGCTCTTCCCCAGCATGCCAAGCATATCTTGAATATCTGCTTTTTTCTTAAATTTATAATAGGTTAAATAGTTATAACATTAAATAAGATTCCTAATTGCCAATATTAAACATTAAATTTATTCGATCAAATAATCTTTTTAAATTAGATAATGAAATATTATTTTAAAAAGGAATTTGAATATTTATGCGGGAAAAAATACTCGAGAAAAGTGAATAGATTGTTATTTAAGTGTAATTAATTCACACATGTAAATAATTTTGATTTTAGGTGTATGAAAAATTATTTATACAAGTATCATGTTAAATTTATTAAAAGATTTATCAATTTGATGAAACCATTAAATGATTTAAGTGATAAAAAAGAGTGTTGTTCTCTTTAAAAATCTCAAGTTCGAGTTGTTATGTCAGCATGATGTGTGTATATTATCAGTTGATAAAAAATAAGTTAAATAGATATTATATTATAATCAGCCGGGATTAATAAAAAATTTGTATTATTATGGATGTTGTGTCAACTAAGCATGCTATCCACTTGTCAAAATTCTATGTGTCAACATTAAATTATGTCCGGGTTCACTATGAGCTATGGAAAGTCTTACGTGCGACAACCTTAATATACTATGAGTTAACCCACGAAGCCCATACTTGGGCCGAAATCGAACCCAAACCATCTACGAAGGTGCACCTGGACATGGGCAGTAATTTGTCCCGGATTGGAAATCTAAGAAGGTATAATAACAAATTTATCATCTAACGTTTGCGTAAATGATTATTTGATATATGTATATATATATATATATTGGAGCATTTTATCCTACAGATTGTGTTGGATGATTAAGAAATTTTAACGTGGGATCATTTATTTATCTTGTAAAATTTAATTTCCCCCTTTTTCAATTGTTATAAAAATACCACGTTCAACAGGCAGCAGCCTTTGTACTCGTTCAAAAATTACAGAAACAAAAATGTATTTCATGCGATAGTACTTGAACCTATTCCTCATGATTTTAATAACTTAGGCATTAATAAAAAAAACTTAATTACTATGAATTTCCCACTTACAACATAAAAGAAAACAAGCAGAGAAAACGTGTCAGGTCATAGCCAATTTTTTTTCTTCCTTCTGGGGTCTAACTATGATCTTCTTTTGTGTTACAAACCTAAATGATCTTCTTTTTCTCAAAAAAGGTTTTCAAGTGCCAAAATTGTAATCCTGCTACGGACAAGCAAAGGAAAAGCGACAGGAATGACAACCAGAACATCTTGGAGGTCGTAGCTTTGTTCAGTTCCTGCATTTCTTCTTCTCTGCCAAAAATACAAAAAAATAAAACCATAGACGTAATGTATGGGTTCAATTGAAAACTATGCTTCCTTACCTTCCTCGCAAATAAAACATTTCGTCGTGAATGGAGGTAACCACATCGTACAACTTCTTCAGTTCCAGTTCCATCACCTGGAATTTACAGTTTCCACCCAGAAATGGAATTTACAAGTCAAGACTGCAGATTTGCAGAAACAAGAAGACAACAGAGCTAAAACAACTGGTCTCTTTTTTGTGTGTGTAAGATATGCAAATAATCTTTGATCTTTGGTGTTTGGAGACTAGAAGCAACTGATCTCGTAGAATGATAAGCTAAAAGATAGCAAAGAATAGAAGGATTACATATAGAAATTTTACTTTTAAAGGGCTACAACACTCACCACGACTTGGCCTTCCTTGGCAATATTAGACCAGTCCTTGGCGTGAACTCCAGTTCTCCAATCAAAATCAACGGTCATTGTGATCCGCGGCGAATGATCATCCGCCCAAAAGCACGCCGTGTAACCCCCCTCCTCCGCCGCCGTGAATGCAAATTGACCCGTCTCCACTTTTTCCGCCCTGTGATAAGTATTCCCGTTCGGCGACGATACCTTCATTCATTTAAGTAATGACCCCCACAATAAAAAACAGAAGAAGAAGCAAATTTCAATCTTTTTACTTTGAAAATTTAATTATAAAATAATAGAAAAAAACGAAAAATTAAATTAAAACAAATATTATTTTCGCAGTAAAATACCCTGACAGTGAGCTTGTGAGAATCGGGCAGAGGGTGATCTGGGTTTGGGTTGACAACTTGGTACTTCCCGACCGTCATTGAATTGCTTTTGATGTCTTCTGAGATGCATTTAGTGTATCCCGATTGCAACTCAAACCGCAATGACTGCGACGCAGGGGATAAGATCCCCACTACTAGAACCACGATTATGACCGACCGAAGAATCATAGTCAACCACTCGACTTTCAATTTCAATTGTTGGAAACACAAAGGCAGGGAGATTCCTCCTTTTCTTTCACTCCTTCAGCAAAACGGAATTGGAGGAAGGGAAAAAAATAAAGTACAAATATTACTTTGCCACGTGGTGAGATATAATTGGAAGATACACGTTCTGTCCTAAAATTTCCTGATCTTTATATGCAAAAGATCCGAGTTTTACTGTTATTCTTTTGAGTGATTTATGCAAAAAAAAAAAAAAAGAGCTTTTAATTCAGCCGTTCTTTTATCAGTTTTTTTTTTTAATTTAATGCTCGTTGTTTTTATTATTTTATTAGATAACGCCCTCGCTTTAATTGAGAGTTGAGATTACAATTTTAGTTTATATTATTAATAAATATCTAAAGTATATTATTTTTTTCTAAATATTTAAAATATTTTTTTATCAAAGTACTCAAAGTTATTTTTGGTCAAGATAAGTATATAAAGTATTCAATTTTTTCATTTAAATTTCACGAAGTTAACATATGACATTAATTAAAGAATACTTTAAGTATTTAGATAAAAAAGATTGAATACTCCATATACTTATTTTAAGAAAAAAAATATGGTATAGGTACTTATTTTAATTAAAAAAATACTTTGAATACTCAAATAAAAGAAATTGTACAATTTATATACTTATTTGTGATATAAGCCTAAATTTTTAATTATGATATTTGTACCGATATTTATATTAAGTGTTTATGTATATTTTGTCCTTTAAACTTGATTTTTTTATATCTAATATAGTATTTTGTCTTTAATTGACATGTTCATTTAAGTTTGAAGATTCACGCAGATTTTGAGAGTGTTTGAGTAAATATATTATTTTCGAAAATATGTTTAGATTAAAATAAGTTTAATTAAAATATAATTGAATTTGAATTTAAACATTTGATATTTAAACTCGAATCATCTTTATTGATATTTGTAATATGATATATTATTTTATTTTCATATATTATATGAATTATATCACATTAAAGTCTTAATAAGAGAAAAAAAATATAAAAGTTCTTAAAAGTAAAGTAAAAATAATACAAATATTAGAAAAAATATGAATGGGCCTAAAAGCAGAAGAAAAGGGTTCCAACATATTGGGTCCATCGTTCGATGTTCAAAACCTGGACGATCTCAGCCTTGTAGTTTCAAATTGTCCATTTTATTTGTTAGGCTCAAGGGCCCAAGGTTTCCGCTCCTTTTAAAATACATATTAAAAATAGGGATGATTAAAATATCCGAACTCGATGGATCTTGATCAGACCAAACTCTATAGGGGTAAGTTTTTTTAAAAAAAACTTGGGGTTCGGGATGAGAAAGGGCGAGTTATGTAGTATATAAGTTTGGGATGGGGCAGGGCTGGATTTAAGGTGAAAAATCACTGATCCGACCTAACCCGGTTAATTTATATTTTTTTATAGAAAATATATTTAATACTTTAAGAATTTAAAATTATTATAAAAATATATTATTTTAACCTTTTAAAATATAATAAATAATTATAAATATATTATTATAAAATATATTATTTTAATTATTTTAAAATATTAATATATTTATATCAGTTCGGATTGAGATTGTGGTTTTAGTTTAAAAATTGAGGAAAAATTAAAATTTATCGAGACAAAACAAGGCCAGATATAAAAAGTATGCTTTTGGGTCGAGGTCGAGAGGCCCAAAACCCGACCTGGCCCGGCCCGTTCCCGGCCCGTGCCATCCCTATATAAATCATTACTAAAGAATTTTCTAAATCTAAGGTGCGCTTAAGACGGTTAAAAAGCAGGGTTTTTTAAACCAACGACAATGATTAATTTAATTGACTAAATAAAGAGAAAATATAATAAAATTATACAATTAAAAATTATAAAAATTAAAATTAAAATAATATATTATGAAATTATTAAATAACATAAATTAATCACTAGATAATAAAATCCAATCATGCAATAAAAAAAGTTAAAAAAAACTAACTTAATAACTCAAAAAAATATTCACAAATAACATCATTGTCTATAGTGAATGATAATAATCATCACCCCTAACATGGAAATTACATATATAATAATAATAATGATGATGATGATGTAATGATAACAAATTATTTCTATCACAAATCGAGTGCAATTTATCTAGGATGATTACAATAACATATAAATATTAAAAAAATCAACTCAAAAATTTAAGGCATGATAGATCAATAAGATAATCAAATAAACATTAAATTTAACTTTGAAAAAATAGTCGTGTTATAACAGCCGATAAAAAACTTGTTATAAGAACAAACAAAAATCATCCATTGTTTTCATATGAAAATGAAAAGATTAACTAATAAAATAAATAAAAAACACAAATCGAATATATGAAAATAAAGTTTACTTTTTATGATTTTTTAATATTTTATCAGTTTTTTTATTTTTAAATTATTAACCATGCATTATAATTTTTAAGAAATAAGTTCTAAAATTTAAAGTTTTAAAATTATAATACGTGACATATTATAATCAATTCAAGTGATATTTTTGATAGAAAACATGATTAAAATAACGAATTAACACATGACAATAATTTATAAGATAACTAAAAATACAATATACGAAAATAATAGAAGATATTTAAATAAAAATGAAAGTGAAAAATGAAAGTATAGTATAAAAGAAGAAGTAATATTAGCAAAAAGAAAAATGGGAAGAATATGATCGATACATATGTAAGCAGCTACTGAGTTAATGTTGATATTGATTTACGAGGAAAAGTAGGGCTTGATTTCTTCCCCACAAAACACGTTTCTTTACAACTTGATCCACCGTTAGCCGCCTAACCAGGAGAATGAGTCCCACTACTCCCCCCGTAGAAAATATAAAATGAAGGCAGTTCCGCCGTGGATTTATTTACTCAGTCAAAATAGTTTACCCTACTTTTTGGGTGAGTGCCGAAGGGCAATGCACCCCTCTTCCACATTAACACCGTTTGTGACATCACTCTTTTCAATTAATTAAATTTATGATGACATGGATTAAAATAGTTGTCAAAGTTTGACAACCTTTGGTGGTGCCCTTTTAGTTAAAAGGAACAGCCGTGCACCACAGTTTTTTTTTAATTAATAAAATTGATTGTTTTATTAAATAAATAAAGAAAAATATAATAAAATTATAATTGTAAAAATTAAAGAAAATTAAATTATATTCATTATTTATTTATTTTCAACTATCAAGAGAACAAATTAACCACTAATATAATAGAATCATGAAAAAATGTAAAAATAAATAAATGAAATAGTCCAGAAATTATCATTATCAACGTTGAATGATAAATTTTATTGACAGTAATATACAAATGAATACAATAAAGATGTTATATCAATAATTGACTTCATTGCAGCTTAAGTACAATTTATTAAAAATGATTATGAACATTTATCAATATAAGAAAATCAACTTGATAGTTCGAATCAATGATAGATCAATAAAATAATTAAATATACGTTAATCGAAATAATACATCAATTCTAATTATAAAAGAAAGAAAAGTGTATTACAAGAATAAAAAAACATTTATATTTTCAATAAAAGAAGAGAAAAATTGATGCATATTTTATTATAACATGAATTTAGCAGTTCACCATAGTTGTCTCTCTCATGCTATAACCCTAAAATCAATAAAAATAAATTATAATAGGTTGAAAGATGTGAATCCTAGATAAGGCCAACAGAAGCAAATAAAAATATATAAATTAAACAATCAGTGATGATAAAGAATTTTTAAGAAAAAAATAATTTTTACAAGGTGGTTGAATTCTTATATGGTCAGCTATTAATCAATCAATAAATAAAACTGTTTTCTACCTTACAGTTTAATAAACCTATTCAATTAGTGCTTTATCCTTCCTTTGACCATTAATTATCTCCTTAGTAAGTATAATTAAAAATGGGTTTAGGAGCTCTTCCTTCAGGATTATTTTAAGATAATTACCATTAAATTCAAAGAAAAACAATATATTTACAGAATATTACCAATTCCTGGAAGAGACAAAAAGAAATAAACAATGGGCCAATTAGGTATGTCGGATGACTAGCAATAATTTAAAGCTAAAATGGGATATTCAAACACAATGGCTTTGAATTTTCTCTCTCTGGTAAAGAGTGCTTTTCAGCAAAACAGAACAACAGTTTCTTCACCTGCTACGTTAACCAATATAAAAAGTAAGACGCGTTTTTCTTCAAAAATCATCGTATATCGGTATATTTATTATATAATATCGGTCAGATTATATTTCTCGATTTAACACTATTTATAATAAAACGCGCCCTTTACATTGTATTACATGTTGATTTGACGTCACGTGGGGTAAGGCACACCCCCTGCACCGCGCTATATGCTGACATGGAATACATGTGGGTATAGCGCAGCCCCTAGGGTGCGCCTTACGCCATGTAAAGGTATAGCACGGGGCAGGGGCCGCGCCTTACCTTTAATTCTGACATAATTATATATAGATCGCGCTTTGTATAATTATAGCAACTTTTCTCGGCTATAAATACCCTTCTTCCCCGGTTAAGTTCCTCACATCTCCTCTCAACTTATAAATTAATACAACAATTCCGTCAACGAATCAATAATTCTGACAATTTTCTCATATTTGATTTAGAAGTTCGTGCAATTTTTCGTTATAAGGTACTTTTGTTATAATTTTTTTATTATATTAAAAATATAATAAAATATACCTTAAACAGAGAATATAAGGTATTTGAGAGAAGTTGAGAGAATTTGGTGTGATGAAAGTGATTGAGGATGGATGTATTTATAGGGAGGATTGGGGTGTGAAGCGTCGGGGTATGGGGGTAATTAAACATATAGCGCGGGGCAGGGGGCTCGCCTTTCTGACGCATGGTAGATACACAGGTAAGGCGCGGCCCCTGATCCGCGCTATACCCACGTGTATCCTATGTTAGCATATAGCGCGGTGCAGAGGGCGTGCCTTACCCCCACGTGGCGCAAAATCAACATATAACG